TAAGTTCGGCCATTTAAAATCATATTCTTGGACAAGATTTTTATCAATTAAATGGTCGGCTTCCATTGCTACTCCTAATCATTCAGAAAATGGCAGCACAAAAAACGCGCAAATTCATTTTACTGCCACTTTACAACGGTTTTCACACAGACACCAGTTAATTCCGTTACACGATGGCTGAGGCAATTTCACATCGACCAGATACGCCCCCCCAAACATGCAGATGACGAGATTTGACAGGATCGGCCAATGCGCAAGCGTCTAAAACAGCTGGTGCTTATATCCTAATATTCTAATTTCCTAATAACTTATTTTGCCCTTGTACAATGCAAAATACATATTTTTGATTAGGTTGGTTGGCCGTCAAGTACCATCCTATGGCACCCAATTTTGATTAGGTTGGTTGGCCGTCAAGTACCATCCTATGGCACCCAATTCATATATCACCAACACCATAGCACAGAGTTATGTTAACATCCAATCAAAAAAATGACTAATATACTAAATTTTTATTTAATTAATTGTAAGGATGAGATATATTACATTGTAAAATGACCATGATGTACCACGGATCGCCAACTAATGCATTTACATTATTCCACAAATCTTTCAAAACAGAATGCATCCCTGATTTAACACTTTTACCTTACTCCCTTGAAATGATAAGAACATAGAGTTCATACTCTTTCCTCCACCCTGGCATCTCAATTTTTCTATTGGTAATGTATGTGCAGTGAAATACTGCTGTGGGTGGCCATTGGCAAAATACAAATTTGATCTAAATATAAAGTTGCACGCCAGTTGACGACTGGACGTGGCTCGCGTCTTAACGCACATCATGATGTGGTTGTCGATCAGTAGTCAGCATTCACAGTGGTTAAGTTTTTCGTCATGTGTAATGAAAATCAGTCCACGGAATAAGGTCACGCCGTACAACGACACGGTAAAAATAGTCTCTGTAAGTTTGCATCGATTATACCACAGGTCTTGAGGGACTGTGATTATACGAAACCGCGTCGTTACACTCAGAACAAACTACATACCAACCTGTAATAGTGTAGCTAGTATCACTGTGACAAATAACCTTAACTTCATGCTGTTATTGAAATAATAAATTCGCCAATGTGCCACCAAATAGGCCGATCATCCATGCTACGACACAGCCCGGCGACACAGTAACTGGGATTCCCCCAATAAGCGCAACCACACTCCAAACGCTGGAGGCGCTCTCACTTCCGTTCCTCTCGAGTTCCTAAAAGGGCTCATACCACTAATATTGAAACTCCGTAGACGACACTGTTAACATATGACGAGATTGCTATATGAAAATGATAAACAAAGTCGAAAACAAGGCTCAAAAATGGGGAAATCAACATGCCAGTAATCATGCAACCACATGAAAAAAACTAACATGTTGGCCAGCTCAAATTCTTGCAAATCTCAGGTAAACAAAACTGAAAAAACACATAGAATTTCCAAATACACAGAATATTAAATACAGAATTAACCCACAGGTACAAAGTCGCTAAGTAATAAACAAAAAAACACATGTTAGTCTCACCTCTTACCCTAGTCTGGT